TATCTTATAAAGTATAATTATATTTGCAGCGATTGATTAAATGTCAAAACATTAATTAATGCTTATTATTAATAAGACGCAAATTATTAAAAAGTGCGTTGCTCCATAAAGCACAGCACTTATTTATAAACACAAGAAAGGCTTGCAGCTATGCACTTGGCCAATGGCCTGCAATAAGAAAATGAATATACATAGCGAGAAGAATACAACAAAAATAAAAAATAATGAAAAAAGAAATAATACCGAAAAACCGAAAAATTTTTTACTAGCAGTTAGCAGTTTAACTTGCATGAATTTTTATCATACTTTACGATACTTTTCATAAATTCATTGCAGGTTGAGGAAATGCCAGATTTCAAATACCTTGGGTCCACTCTAATACCAAATGGACAGGCAAAAGATATTACAACTTGGACCACGTAAGCTAGAAATGCGTTCTTCCGGTTGACGAAACCTTTATGAAATCACCATAAAAACAAAAGTCCGCATCTATATTGCCGTGATCCGTTCGATCTTACTAAATGGTTCTGAGACATGGCCAATGAGAGTAGAGGATATTAAGAAGTTATCTGCCTTGGACCACTCTTGTCTAAGGCACATCCATCTTCGTTCAAATACCACTTGCATAAATAATGTTATCACAGAGCGCCGCTTTCGCTGGTTAGGGCATATTCTTCGTCGTCTACAACACGAGTTGACGCATATTTCGTTACTTGCTAAACCCTATGATGGTTGGCGTCAAAAGCGAGGAGGGCCAATCATCATGACCTGGACTGATTCAGTCAGGAAAGATTTTGAATGTATAGAGGGGACTAGCGATATATGGACTTAGACGATGGAAAAAGGAACCGCTTCTATTACTACTATCAATGGCGTCAGACCGAACAGCTTGGAGCCGTCTTACTACTGTGGCCAGCGGAGCCAGAACCAATATTAGTGAGAGCTATTAGAAGAAGAAGGATATGTTCAACCACACAATCGACAAATTTAATAAAGACAACTGGATACGTGGATTTTGCAAACGAAGTACCACAGCAACCATATTGATAACATTACCACACATGCAAAAAGAGATATACAAGTGCCACACCACAAATTGATCGGAATCACCATCTACACCACCTATTCTTTAAAAGGGAAACACATTTTGTTTTTATTACTTCACTGAGTATTAGTACTACCTAAAATGTCGGTAGCCGTTTTGTGCCATATTTTAAAATATAATTTGTATAAAATCAGTCGTGGCTTTCTGTGAACCACTGGGGATTAGTGGCGTGGCATCTGGAATATCGGAGTAGTGCATTGTACAGATTCATCTTCCAGTAGTTCGCACCATTGCTGATTTGGCTTGGTCCACTGGTGACTATGGTAAGTCGTTCAGTAGGAAGCCTTCCAAAATTTGATGCTATTCCTGAAAGTGAATGAAGCGGCTCATTTTTCCACTTTTTAAGCTCGCGTATATACTGGGGCGCCTTTGTGTTCAAATTCTTCCCAAAGCATGTCAGTCCTTGTTTTGATCGGTCCTTTTCGCTTTTGACGCTCATTCACATGGGTACAAAGCAATGCTGGCTTTATGAGGATATTCTTCATGCAGGAACAAAGATTACAGTCATGTGAGATTCCCTTCGTTTGGCGAATATAAGATATGCCTTTAGCCAGAGTGGATTCTAAAAGTATTTCGTCTTATATCCATTGATTTTAAGGTTAATTTTCGCTGATACTGTCGACAGCAGGTTTAGCATCTGCTGCAATTCTTAATTGTCAGCGAAAAGGATAACAGGACATCAGCGTATTAAAGGTCCATGATACTATATTCTGGATTAATTTATACTTCTTTTGAGTTTTGGCATTTGATAACCATAATTCTATCTATCGCATGGTTGAAAATTGTAGAGGCGATAGCGCAATCTTAACGTACATCGGTAGGTATTTCAAAAAGTTTCAAAAAGTTCTGTCAGTTCCTTATACTCTCAAAGCCATGTTCTTATATAAGATCAGTTGGTACTTATTCATAAGTTAATTTAGAGTCGAACGACGGAGAATTGATGGAAAGCAGAGGGTTTATATCTGATTTTTGTTTTGTTTTTAAAGCAAGCGACACTTATTTTTTCGAAAAAGATGAACTAAAAATATGTCTTTATTTATTTGTTTGATTCTTTGAATGAGAAAAATTTTTCATATTCTCATGTTTTATTTTTCATAATACACTTATTTATTTCAGCGTTAAAAATTATGTGTACTTTATTAAAAACAATTGCATATGGAACTCGTATAACGCCAACGATAGCTAAAAATATTATCGGATCTTTTCCGGAACGCAGTTTACTCGATTGTGCACAAGTTTCTTTCCACGTAAATTTTATTTTAACAATTATTTATTTCATGGTGGCATTGAATTATTATTGATGTAGAAATAGCACGGTTATAGAAAAGGGTATCAGTGATAATATCTTTACAGCAGATCTGTACATATGCGTGTTTTTACCTTCCTAAAAAGAAATGTGATCGCAGCCTTTTTGCTGGAAGTCTTGGCCCATCGCTGATAAATTACCTTTTTTGGCTCTAATTAGAATATTTGGTAAAAACTATGGTGAGGGAATGCAGCGATTGAGAGAATATGAAGTCTTTTAATCTAATAGAGTAAGTTATTAACTATAAAATTCAACCGTTCATTGTTGTTTACTGTTTGCGGATCTAGTAACTAATGTAAGTGGCTTTTACCATTCTACAAACTTCCATTTTCTAATATAATGAATAATTCAGCTTCCATTAAATACGAAGAAATCACAGTTTGTATTTTCTTGATTTTATTTGTTAATTAGATATTTGATTTAAATAATTGGATTTACAGGATGTGGAGAGAACATCCATCACTAGGCTACATAATGGTCATTACCCATCAATTTCAGCAGTTCTTGGATGTACACAATCACAACAACAGCTGTACTGGTGGCAACTAAAAATGATTAAACAACTTGGTGGCTTAGCTGCTTTCAGAAAATATATGAGAGGTCATCTCTCTTTGATTTAATTTTTGCTGCCAATAATTTGCTATATTTGTTCTTTGTTTTTTGAGAGAATGGTACTTTTTGATTGTCCGCCACGACCTTAGACTTATTTATTGTTGAGAAAATATTACGATAGGGAGAGGAGGAAAACCAGGTTTTACTTAGTGAATAGTATGAAATGCAAAGGATACCTGTGGGTTTTGATAATTTGCCAATGTCGATTAATGAAGGTTGCAAAAATAACCGTCTCGATTTTCAGAGAAAAATCCCCTAAAATAAACGTAAGTTTGGAAATTGCGACCACAAAATTATATTTTCTTAGAAAAATAGTTGAAACCTTTTATCTAATATAGTTTAAAAGCACGTTCAGAACGCATTGATTTGGGCGTCAGATACCACTCTTTTATCCAGCAGTTGTTAACTTCTTGGCGCAAGGATGGCGGAAATATCAGTGAAATCCATCATCGTCTCCTTGAGAAGGTGCTTTAACTTTAAAATAGCACTTCTAAGTTTGCGTTTATTCTTTTTTATTTTTTTAATATTTATTTATCCATAAAGAATTTTGCAGAGGTTCCTGTTCTCAATAGAAAAATAATACCAAAAATCAAAAAATACATAAATCTGAAGGGAAAAAAAATGGGAAAGGTTTTATTGCCATTTAATCATTTTAAAATTATGATGGGATTTTAATTTTTTGTTTCCCACATATTATTCAAAAATTTTTTAGCTTGACGATGGCATCTCTGGATATGCACGTAGTGCATCGCACATACTTTTTTCTTTACAACTATCGAATGAGATGCGTCTGGAACAATTTACAACTCATCATCGTCTTTGTTATCATGGACGATTTGACGCTATAATTCGTTATAAGTCAGTTTCGGTTATGGATTTGTATTTCAATCCACTATTTCTAAAAATACCAGTTTTACCCTTACTCTTTATTCTTTACCAGTTTTTTAATCTTTTTGAAGAGATGCTTTATTTTTGATGGATTGGAAGACTTCGAGTTCGGGTTCAAAAAAAGAACAAAGTTCAGTATTGTCGACGATGTATAATGACCCTCTACAGATAGCTGCATATATAGGTGCTGTTAATAGTGATCCAGTTTATTCTGATTTACCAAAGGTTAAAATTTTCAAATGTTGTTTTGCATAACCATTCATTTTTTAATGTCTTATTTTTATTTTTCTCTTATTTTTCTATATTGCAAAATTTTGTTTTTTAAAGGACGTTTGGTTAATTTTAAAATAAAACTTTTTCTTCTAGTTTTAAAGCTTTAAAACGAAAGACTAAAGGGAACTGATCTACTGTGCGAGCCATTAATCTTTTATTTATAGGCATTAGCGAAATTCGGAACTGAGTAGGTAGGTCTTGTCATAATTAAGTTTCAACCAGCTTTGCTTTTCGGTACGATTGTGATTTGCAGATAGCTAATGGCGCTGTTGTGGTTGCGAAAGAGAGTGGAGTTTGTGCCACTGTTGTAGAAATGAATTTCAGAGAAATAGAGGTTATCCTTAACACCATATTTTTTGGATTGACTGTATTTCCCGAAAGAAAGGGATTCTTTATTACCCTTTCATCTTTGAATTTATCTTTCAATTCAATTCATATTTATTCCTGCTCTGCTATCGCCTTTTTTTTAAATTTTGAGGAATTTTGCAGTGGTTTTCTAAAGATAATTGCATGCATTCACATAGTTACGTCTGAAATTTAGTCTCCTTTGCTTATTCTTAGTTTTCTTCATTGAATTTTTGAAGTTTCTCTTCGGTTATCGCCAATTATTTCAGGATTATTGGCAGAAATGGTTAAAATGTTTGAAGAAATTTTGGGGCGAATTAGAATCAAGACCCTCATCTCAAGGCACCGTTTCGTTCATATCTTCTGGATAGAATTCGAAATATCTTTTTTATTTTTTGCAATCGAAGATTTATTCAAATCAAAGAAATGCATTTCATCTTGTCCGTCGTAAAATAAATAGTGTTATACTATTTAAAAAATCATGAATTAATATATTTAATGTGATGTGGTGTAACGGTTAATTAATTTCTGGTTTAAATTGCAGCTTACTCCGCTACGCGTATAATTTTTAAATAAAACTTCACTTCTACCATAACTGTCTTACGAATTCGAACTGCATGTGGATTCAATGAGCAGTAAATCACATAAATCACATGAACTTAAAATTGGGAAATTGAACCTTTTATATAAAATATGGGAGCATAAGGTTTGCACGAATGTTTATGTTCATGGAAAATTGACACAATCCTTTGGATTATGAATGGACTTGGAGCAGGATTGCCTTTATCTTCTTACAGTTTTCAACTATGGAATGATTTATGAACACTGCTTACAAGAGGCATGCAAGAGCTATGCAAATCATTCCGGTGTATTCACAAATCTTAAATACGCTGCATTATTTTTTGGCTCTTTATTTACGGCTACTAGTAATTATAGCAGACATTTAACCGAATATGCGTTTACAAGGAAAATTGACTTTCAAATCAGTGTAAATCGGTATAAATAAGACGAAACTTTTAATCTTATTATAAGATCCCAATTTCCATAAATTCATAAGTTCATTGCTGGTTCACGGAAAATTAAATTTTAAATATCTCGGACACATTCTCATACCCAATGATCAGACGAAAAGTGAAATTCCAACTCGTCTAGCTACAATCAAGGTGCTTATATCTACAAATCTTTTTATCTGGCGAAGCTTCTTTGGACCCACCGCGAAATGATAGTTCACATCCAGTCCACCTGGCTGTGGTACGGATGACGATATAAGTTATAGCGAATAAGAGTGGAAGATATTGGGAAAGTATCTGCTTTTGACCATTCTCATTTGAGCTATCCTATATATCTAGATAGATTCTCGTAAAACTGCATAATTTTCTCTTTCCGACAATACTGTTTATCGTTAATATCGTCACAAGTGTTGCCTATACTGGTAAAGTTTTTTATTGCCCTAAAATTTTGCTGGGTATTCTGGTTTAGGTTATGGAAAAAGGAATGGTCTTAGTAGCTTTTGCGCACAACGTCGGTTCGAGCAGCTTAGAAAAACGCTACCCTAGCCGTTGATTAAGCCAGCCAAACCGGCAGTGATGTGGGCTGTTAGAAGTTTTATTGACGATATGATTTTATCGATTTCAATTTAACTTCATAGTTTAATTTCATAATTGATTTCTTATTCGCCTAATTCTGTAACTGCTTCTTGCACGAAAGCAGAAGAGGTATCCTATCCATTTTACGTTCCAGTTGTATTCCATTTTCTACGACAAACATGTTTTGCGCTCCTTTTGATTGTTAGTCGTTTTCCTCGTTTATCTCTTTCTTTTATCTGTTTAATGTAGCTCTGCATAAAATTTTTATCAAAAATTTCGATTTTGGACGAACAGGGAAACGTTCCTCCAATTGCGCTTTAAAACTGAGTTCTTTTCATGTAGATGGAAAGCTTCTATTGAAGTTTGACTTTTCCAGTAACGCTTGAAGAAAGGTTTGAGCTGAAAATCTTATCTGCGTTATAAAAGTTTCTATTTTTTTCATATTATCCATAATTTGTTTTAAATCAATTTATAAAATTTAATAATACATTTTCAACACAATTTTACAAATCGACCTGGGCGATATGCTTACTGTAATTTTTCTTCTTCTGGCTGCACTCGCCATTTCTGGTTTGATTGGCTATCCAAAGAGAAAGATGAGCCTTTTTCTTCAGAGAGCTTGAAGATAAGAACTGAATCGGCTGGCTCAGTCGAACTTTAAATGCGAGGTACTGTCGTCAGAGGACAGGAGCGCATCCTATCATATGTCTTTACTCTGGTTATAAAACACTCCTCGGCCATCATATTTGTTGTACTTCATAAATAATAAAATATTAATTTTAACTATTAATAAAGGTTTGCAGATAGTATTTATAAATATTTAGAACAATGTTATTTAACGAAATCAATGCTGCATGCATAAGGGCTACAGGTACCTTTTGCAGTGCTCTGTTATGGCCAGGGCTTCAAGTTAATCGGAAACCTTTGGTCCTCAGAATCCCTGCAGGTCCTTGGTTGGATATCAGATGCAGATGCGAAAAAAAAATTTTTAAATAAGGATATGACGGAAATCAAATTTTTTCAATAATTCTGTAGTGATGGTCAATGGTTGCAACGGATAAAATCCCTCATTCGGCAGCTAAAATTTGTAATTTATTGTAAATTAATATTTGTTAGCTAAGCACCATCCAAGTGGAAAAATCGTTTTTTTTTGTCATATTTACTATGTGTTATTTAGGGCAAGAATTTCATTCTGCATGCACCATCTGTAATTTGCCTGACTTCGTTGATTATTGCTGTGCGACGCCTTCACCGTAGAGTCACTTAGCAGTAGAGTCCTTTGTGCCCTCTCTAAGTCGCCGTTGTAATGTCACTATAAATCGTTTTTTTTTCTAAGCATTGCTTTCAAGCTGCTTATACAGTCACAGTTTGCAAATACTATTGAGAGAAATTTGTTCTTTATCTGTTACAGTGAAGGTTATGTTAAAATCATGCGATTTTTTTTAAAAGTATGGAAGTAGTAATAATGCCTCATCGTTTCGTCACCTCCTTAGTTCAAGCTATTTTGGTATAACCACTTTTATGAGGTTGTGAGGTTACCAGATGCGGAATTCTTTGGAACATCTGTGCGTCTTGTCTTGTCCAAAACGAAGAATTTAATCGAAATAACTAGTGTGGGTATCTTATAAAGTATAATTATATTTGCAGCGATTGATTAAATGTCAAAACATTAATTAATGCTTATTATTAATAAGACGCAAATTATTAAAAAGTGCGTTGCTCCATAAAGCACAGCACTTATTTATAAACACAAGAAAGGCTTGCAGCTATGCACTTGGCCAATGGCCTGCAATAAGAAAATGAATATACATAGCGAGAAGAATACAACAAAAATAAAAAATAATGAAAAAAGAAATAATACCGAAAAACCGAAAAATTTTTTACTAGCAGTTAGCAGTTTAACTTGCATGAATTTTTATCATACTTTACGATACTTTTCATAAATTCATTGCAGGTTGAGGAAATGCCAGATTTCAAATACCTTGGGTCCACTCTAATACCAAATGGACAGGCAAAAGATATTACAACTTGGACCACGTAAGCTAGAAATGCGTTCTTCCGGTTGACGAAACCTTTATGAAATCACCATAAAAACAAAAGTCCGCATCTATATTGCCGTGATCCGTTCGATCTTACTAAATGGTTCTGAGACATGGCCAATGAGAGTAGAGGATATTAAGAAGTTATCTGCCTTGGACCACTCTTGTCTAAGGCACATCCATCTTCGTTCAAATACCACTTGCATAAATAATGTTATCACAGAGCGCCGCTTTCGCTGGTTAGGGCATATTCTTCGTCGTCTACAACACGAGTTGACGCATATTTCGTTATTTGCTAAACCGTGTGACGGTTGGAGTCAAAAGCGAGGTGGGCCAATCATCATGACCTGGATTGATTCAGTCAGGAAAGATTTTGAATGTATAGAGGGGACTAGCGATATATGGACTTAGACGATGGAAAAAGGAACCGCTTCTATTACTGTCGACTATGACATCAGATTGCGCAGCTTTACGTTTTACCCTCGTAGCCGTTGGTGTCAGCCTAATAATGGTGAGAGCTGTTAGAAGAAGAAGACCATACTCAAAATCTTCGTTACGCGTATGACCAGGCAATATTTCTCAAATATTTATGAATTTTAAGTGTCTACTGCATAATGGTCGGAATTCTTTTATCAGTGTGGATGGGACAATCCGACTTATTACAGAACAATACAAATAAAATGGTTTGATGGCTTCATGATGGCCCCATAATACAAATTAAGCTCTCTTTAGATAAATTTAAAATATCACCTGCACCTTTTCTTTTCTTACAGCTACTACAAAATTCCGTGGAATTTGTCTTCAAAAATTCTTGATAGTTGTTCTTATTATCAGAGGTGTAAAATAACCAAGTTTAAGCAATTAATGAATTATTCTGAATTATTTCCTACCACATATACAGTAGCATATTTCATGAATGTCAAGCTTGGCGTCTGTTCCTGGTGTTTCGCTGTAATTCCGATGAAAATGCTTGGATAGAATCAAAAAGAATAATGCAATGTATGTCGCTTCTCGAAATGAGACTGGAGAACAAGATCAGGACATAACCTAAAGATGTTAGTCAGCTGATCTCCCAGAGCAGGTACCAGTTACTGTCACAGTAAAGACATCAAATAGCGAGTTAAAAGCATGAAAATCTAGAAGCACCGCACCATCCACATCTACTGGCTAAAGGAACTAACAGCTGTTCATAAGTTTAAAAGCACAGATGAATCAGCTATTCGCGGTAAGCTTTCATCCCAAAAGGTTAATACAAGGAAGAAAGGCACTGATCAATGAAAAATCCTCGTAAGAAAACAATACTGTCCAATTACCGATCAACAACCTACCTCTTTACAACGGGGAAGTACTATCAAGCATCATATTCATGAAATTACTAGATTACATGAACCAATATATTAGTATAACCCAAAAGGGTATTGGAAACAACATCAGAGGTGAAAAACATTTGCTGCTGCTCGCAAATAAAGTAGAAACTCAAGGTCTCTATAGACCATTCTGAATACAGCCCGGATTGACTATAAGAAGAGCCAGTGATTCAATGACCCACACAGAGATCTATGAATGTTTAGCTCTATAAGGTTAACAGGGCCCTAAAAACCATTGCAATAGATCTCAACGGAACTGCGGAAAACAGTTGAAATCAATCCAAAATAGTACAAGTGGCTATCAATTGCGTTATATATCAAGATGGTGCATTGCTCTACCACTGTTCTGCATCAAGCCTCTTCAGCTAGATAATTACAAAAAGTTGATACGGATACAAGAAATTACCATCAGCCATTTATATGGATAACATCAAATTATATATTAAAAGCGAACGAGACATTGTCTTCATTCATTTAAGACGAATTCATTTAAGACGTAGCGATGATATTAGAATGGACGGAAGAAAGATGGCAGGATAAGTAGGAAAAAATAAGAAAACTGATGAACTGATGTTATTACCAGCACATTGCAGAAATCTAGACCAATTACAAGCATTTTAACAATCGCAACGGGACCATGATGAAGAAGTAAAGAAGATAGCAACATCCAAATACCACCAAAGAGTAAGACAAAACCAGCTCAATGGGAAAAGCAAAACCCATGCCATAAACATATAAGTTCTGCTAGTCATCATATACGCTGCTGGCATAGTGAAATGGTCAAAGACATGGAGGTTACCAATGTAAAGATCTGGAAAGCCCTCATGATGTATAGAAATTTCCATCTCAAAGGCTATACAACAGCTAGAATGAAGGCGAGTGGTGCTTGATGAATGACAAAAATCAAGGAATGTTATAGCGTTGAATAAAGTCCAAAGCATTCTTTAGGAATACATCAGGAAGATGAAACCAAATGATAAGCTGTTGATAAAATACCTGAAACATCAACAGACATCGGATAAAGACCAAGCAGAGGAAATGCCATAACAAAGCAAGACCCTTTACGGGATGAGTACCGGTTGGAAAAAGCTAAACTGAAAGACAGCACTATGCATTAATCATAGCAGTATAGAGCAATATAGTATAATATAGTATAGCAATCAATAGCAATAAAGTGCCACACTTCAGAGAACCCTTAAGCTCCTAGGCCTCCAGTTGCCAAGTTGCCAAGTTTGAGGATGACTCATACCACGCATAGAGAGAAAGCGATTTTTGGCATTTTTAATGTATTATTCTTAAAAAAAAATTTTTTTAGTTTCAGAAAATAGTAAGAGGTACCGTAACTAAACGAAAATTGCTAAAACAAGAAGGCTGATGTTGCAAAATATGTCACTGTGCCCTATAATAAAAAGTTGAAAAAATTTCAGTTCTCTCAACGTATTTCGCAAACCGTTGATTTCCTTGTTTCATCCTTTTTTTCATAATTATTTCCTTTAAATGTTTTGCTCGTACTTCGACCATTCGCTAGTGCCAAAGATATTTTTGATGATTTTTTTTCTCGAGTTTGTTGCAGTCAGTTACTGTGCATGAGAAATTTATGAAATATGCTATGAAGGTATGTGGAAAGATAATGTAAGAATAATTCCGCCGTAAATTACTCATTGTTTCTGATTCTGTAATTTAAACATAAAATTTTAACCTTCTTTTCCCATATATTTCTGTATTTTATATGAACGCATCGATATTCCAACTTTCTTTTTCACATTTCTGTGTTATTCTGTGTTATAACTATTTTGAGGAATTCGCAGGAGATAGGAAAGCATTATTAATGAATAGATAGATAGTAGATGGCAATTATCATTAATCAACAGTAAAATGATGGAAGCATTTTTATCAATCGGGAGAAAAATTTGAGAGATAATAAAATGCAGTAACCAGATCCAAAGGTTGTTATGATAATTAATAAAACTGTGCATGAAAAGATCATTCTATCACATGTTGTCGAATCAACTATTTATTCTTAATAAATGGGTTTTACTAAGAACTGAATATGATTAAATTTTGCCATACTGAAAAACATTTACAATTAGTCAATAACGAAAATATTTGAAGAAGAAAATGAAAAATTGTGTTCTAAAAGAAGTTTTACCCTCGAAAGTCATTTCAGCCAAATAATAAAAAATTCTTTTAGAATTCGACTCCAAGGATTAATTAATAAATATTTAAACAATATTTCACTATGAGAGAAAAATATATCTGAGGGCTGTGTACTTTCAAGAAACAAGCTCAGTCTTTAATATTTTATTGGAAAGCATAAATTATATGCAGATTAACGGGAATTCAAATAGATTTTAAAAATTCACATATTTTGGAAGCAATATTAATGATAGTGAATAAATTACGACTCGGTTCATCAGTATGTCTGAGGTGTTCTATTTGCAAAAATTTACAAAATAATGCGAATGGAAAAGAAAGTTTCGAAAAATCTTCGCTAATGATATCATTTACCAAAGATGTTTGCCATCTTTCTTTACCACTGTTCTTAAGGGTTCACCGTTAAGAAAAGGGTTCATTCCATGGTGCACTTTATTGTATTGGATAGAGCGTTTGCGACGTAATCCCTGCAAATACATAAAATAATTTTTTATTTTTCACTAATTTGTTTCACTTATATGCACCAATTATTCTCGAATACATAGCCAAATCTATCGTAGAAAAATAGAAAGTGGAAAATAACTATATATGCCAATCTGCTCCTGTTCCTTGCAGGAAACCTGTGATTAAATGACCAAAATAGCACGCTTGTGCTTCTATTGCAAACTGACTTCCTGGCAAAAATTCTTAATCTTGCTAATAGGAGCTAATCATTTAGCTAACCACTTATTTATGTGGTAGCTTAAAGGGAAGGTTAATTCGGGATATAGAGAACTTTGATTCTCGTTCAAATAGTATCTTAGGACTTCCTTAACTAGAATTTGAGATTTAAGGCAAAAGTAATTATAATTTCAAATATTTATTTATTTAATATTTATTTTTCTTAGCATTAAAATCCACAGCTCTTATTATCATTCTATTTAGCCTAAAATGGAAAATTTATAAATTCGAGTCTGCTAGTAGTCTATTAACTAAAAATTGCATTTCTTGTCAAAAAAATGATCACCAATGTCTCATCACGCGTAATATGAAATTTTTTAGCGATTAAATTCTTGTGTATGCCTTGCTCACCAAGAATGCTTTGCAGACTCTCGTCTAATTCATCAGCTCGTCTGGCCGGACAACTAAAAAACTTCATTAACAGCTATAGTCAAATGAAGAGATAAAGAATCAAAACAGTTTTTGACCACCCAAGCATATGGATGGATTTAGAGCATTTGAGATATTTTAGTTGCGATTCAGAATGTAATTAGTTCTCATAAAACTTTCAAGCTAAATAATAACTTGAACATATGTTCTTGATCACAGATACAGTTTTGATTTGACTGGTAATTTCGTGAAAACTCCGCGCTATTTTCGAACTCCTCCAAACAACCATCCGCAGCCACATATCCGAGTGGACATGGATTCGGTGGCTCACAGTAAGCGGGCAAAACATTATCGCTTTTGACCTGAATAGCAATAGTTTATCGCTTTTTCAATTTTAGATGCATTGGCGTCAGATATTCATACTTTTGCTCTTTATATAAGAATAAGACTGAACGAAATAATCGCATTTAGTTTTAAGTTTTTAAGCAAAAATAATGAATAAACCTGCTGCCGTTGTTCAAAATCGGATTCAGGTCGCAGCTGTTGCGCTCCCTCACCAGCTCCGCCTGTCAAAGCAAGAAATTACCATGATATTTTGATTTTAAATCTTTAATCTTTTATGTTTTAAAGAACTTGGAATACTACATGGAGAAACGAAACGAAAAATCGAGACTTAAAAAACAAGATTTTATATATTTATTTTATATATTTATAGATTTTATATATATTGTGCACCAAAAAAAATCAGAATATAAAAAATTTCTCCCAATTAAAATGTTCAGCACAGTTTTTATGCAAACAGGCAGATATTATCTTGTGGGGGTCTTTGACTTAAATAGCAGCCATCCATCGCCTCATTAATTTACTTGATGATATTTGCCGTGAAACAGTGAAAGCAAAAGACGACTATGGGGTCTTAAAAATGGAAAATGGATTCAAACCATCATGCCTTGACAACAAATTAATTACCGATCAATAAAGGATCAAGAGTAAAGAAGAGATTGACATGGCAGTTGAATTCAGAGTGGTGCGTGCTAGCTTCGCGGCATGCCAAAATAGCGAATCAGCAAAAGATTCAAATATACAAGAACACGATGACGACCATAAAAGGATGCAATTCTCGCACTTGATTTATCGCATCATATAAGAACAGGAGAATGAAAAAAAATCATGCAAAAGTTATAAAATTCTAGGGAATTTAAATATTTAGCTGTACTTCAACTATAAGAACCATCAAGTTAATATCCAATTTTTATAAGTGTGTAAATTTTAAGTGTGATAAATAGGTTGAGAAACGAGAAAGGGAAGCAGTAATGCGAATAAAAAATGAAATATTTTATGAATCAATGGAAAATTGGATAAAGCCAGCCAAGAAATGATGAGAAATGCTCGACATTTCGATCCAGAAGGCAAAGTAAAGCACCAAATGTTCGCTCCAGCAGAGCATATTTGATTTCGCTACTTTTATGGCCAATTTCTCAAAAAAGAAACGTAATAAGTGGAACAGAACTATTGATTTACTTCAATATCCACTGTAAGGGCGTACCACAAACAAAAAAGTTAAAAAAAGTCAATACAGCACCAAAGATCACTAATAATGGCCTCATCAGCAATGAAGTTACTGAAACGAACTATCTATTGTACAAGTAGCAGTAACTATACCTGAATCCTGAAGAAAAATCAATAATTCCATCCAAAGGAAATTTTAAAGTTAGAGGTAACAGAAGACAAACAGACTCGAAGAGATAAATTCTATATTTGCATTTTGCTAAACTAAACGATCCAAACTGAAAAAAAAGACCTGTCATATATTTATGCCCAAATGCTAACGGCCCTGGAAAAGCTTCCGCATCACGGGACATCAAATCGACGAAGTCCGGGAAAACCTGAAATCAATGTCTGTGTTATAAAAGATATATATTACTCGCAGTCTTCTGGAATCTCTATTTAATCTAAAAGCGGATCTTAAAATCGATTTTGAAGTCATCCGGAACTAAAAGAAATCTGAAACTTAGCCCCAAGCCTAAACCAAAATCTTCATCGGCGTAATGCTAAAGTTTATTTGCTCTAGTAGACATGATTCAACAGACCAGTGCAGTGACTTGAACCAATCTTCCTCTTATATTACTTAATACTTCTGGCTTAATTAACTTCACGGATCAGAATGAGGTCATTTTATCGGAGAATGGCTTGTACTGGTTTTAATTTTAACAATATGCTCATTCTTTTTAAGAGACAAAAAAGACCCATGAAGTCGGAGTTCGACCTTGGTGGAAGTAACATGCTACTGGGCCACCCTTTCCTTCCTAAGCATTTATTAGCATTTGTGCTTAAACTAACTGCTATCATAATCTATGAATTACGAGAATTAATGAAAATTTAATTAGCAGCTTAGGGTTTATAGGGCCGATATAAAATTTAATACAGTTCACGATGTACTTCAAAATTGAAGATGAAAACGCTCTTCGATCACGATGAAGGTACGGAAATTTTTCACTACTCCCTCATGTTAAATAGAATTAGGCAAATACTACGGTATTAAGCCAACGATTCCTTGGTTAGGCTTGGTCTTCATGAACCATTTAGTGAGAAAGAAATCCTAGAAAAACTTAGCGAACTGAATAAGAGTTATTAACATAGCTACTATTATGAAGAAATGAAAGGGTTTCTGATTGCATAAATCTAAACTTTTATGAATTAAAAGAAATTGTAAAATGTCTAAATTAGAAAGCTATTTTAGAATGGAAAGAATGACGCTCGCTTTAATGAAGCATCTTGAAGAGATGAATTCTAAGGCGCTAATGAAATTGCGAAAGATTCACCTGTTGTGAAAAGCCCACAACATACATTGTCAGATAAACTGAAAAAACAAACGACGAAGACCACATCATTCTTCGCCGATACTAGTAAATCAATACTAAGGCATTGGAATTCCATCCCGAAAATGGGTTGGGAAAGGATTACGTACGCGCAGCCGCTTCTAGCGAATTAGCTGCACTCAGGAATCGTGGAAAGCCTTGAAAAGCGCTTGCATCGATTCGTTTTTAGACATCCAAAATCATATGCGAATATTGAGAATTGTTCGCTGATTTAAAAAAAAAGACATGAGATAAGTCAGCAGTCAGGATTCCCTGGAAAAGCTCCTCAATTTGTTCCTATACTATTATCTCACTCGACTTTGGTCGATCAATTGAATACTATGCCATTGGGCCTCTTCGAATAGTTCGCACAGCTGCAAAAAAAGAAAAATAAAATGTGACCTATGACCAACTTTCATTAATCTCGAAAATTTCTGGAGTATATTGCAGATTGGATTCTGGAGTATAGCAGCCGAGATAAGGCTGCCAAATATTAGCCACGTTACGGACGGTAGAAATTATTGTCTGTTTCCTTCAGCTCGTTATTAGGATTATGAATCGATCAGATCATACAAAAAGTCAAAGTATTCTTAAGGATGAATAAAAAAATTTAGAAAAATAATCAAAATATTATCTAACGATGCAAAATATAATGTTCTAATATAATGGTGTAAATAATCCACAAAAAACGGAAGCGACACTCATATCGGCAATCTTTGAATAATATAAAAATCTAAAATGATTCGGTTTTTGCGAATAATGATGGTTCACGAAAAACAATGCGATTTTTCCGCAATCATCACTCATATTTGTAGTACCACAGTTCTACCGAGAACTTGCAGTGAAATTAATTGTAACTAATTGAAATTGACGAATTTTTTATCCAAAATATAAATCCTACTATCGCATTTCGCCAATTTTTGCTAATTAGGCAGTTTTTTTTGGTTGGTTGCAAAGTTCGCGCTTTTATGAAGAAACTAAATTTCCCTTACATATGCATTACCATACCACTGTATTATGCAACTCGGAAATTTTAGCTTCTTTTCACACATAGCAGTTAATTTGATTTCTAACATTTCTTAAATGAATTGTAAATTCCGGGTTGATGTTGGTGCGCAACTTAAATATGCGTAATTTACAACCGAATAGTTTGCATTAATTCGCTTTTTCGCTTAAATGGCTAGTACCAGCTGTTTGGGGAATAACTCGATAAACTGAACAAACTCCATTTAAAAGTGATGTATTCAGCCACAAATAAACATAAAGCATTAAGCGATTCGGTGGTTCAGGATTTTTTAAAAATTTAGTCTAGAAATTTGTTAATAAATGAAACAAAAATAAAATTTTGAGAACTCTTTTGCTTGCTACTGACAACATTAATTTCGAACGTTATTTTTTTTATATTTGCAATTAAATTCGCCATACTTATGACGCTTGGCTTTCCAGCTAATGGTCTCATTGTTTAACAATCAGCAATCACTAAATGCTGCACAGCCGATTGGCTTATTTATTCTCACATTATAAAACAAATGATGTAAGTATCAAAACTTTTTTCCGATATTAAACAACATATAAAACATCTATTTTCTCGTACTTTATTCCAATTCCTAGCCAATCTTTAAAATATACGATTTACCATTAGTTCCCCATCCTGTGCATTTCATCCAGATTTCCAGATTTTCGAAGTACATTTATTTGCTTCCTTTGTATTTTAAGTTAGATGCAAACACGATTCGCACTGATTTTTTTCTACCTTCTTCGGCGATTATTTATTTCTCTTGAGGATGAAGCTATTTGAAACATTTAGGTAATCTAAAAGTGCTAGTTTAATTCACGACAAATTTATTTAATTATCATATTGCATATCGAAAGATTTATATAAATAGAAATATTTATATGCCTCAAGCATTTTTATTTGTATGTAACTTTTTATATTATTTGCATACATTTTTTTCGTAAAATTAGCTAAATAGTTACAATATTTATTGTCAAATGAGCGAGAGAAAAAAATCGAATTTTTTAAAAAATATTTGTTTTTAATTAAAATAATTTATTGGACGATTTTGATATTTGATTTTAAGGTTAAAAGGTAAGCAATCGGTTCAAACTCGCAATGAAGAGGAATTCATTTCTGATTTGGCTGGCTCCACTGGTTGTTAGAGAAATTCAGCTAGAAATAAAAATACGAGTGGATCTTCGGGATTCTTTAAGGGCAAGTTTACTCCTATTGCGAGAAAAGAGTCAGAACCACAGTCCATAGTAATAACCATTCGCCCTCTTTATCATAAATCACAAAAATTATCACAAAAATAGTGCCTAATGAAGGAAATTATCATTTCCTTACTATTCCACACGACCAGATGATTCAAGGAAATACTTTCAAGGAAAGAATAGTACCAACAATAGAGCTAAAATTATTAGTAAATTAGAGATAAGTCAATTTTACCAGTTTACAAGTTTTTCGTTCCATGAAACTTTTTGCTATTTAATAATGATCGATGTGAATCAGTTTTTATCGAAGAATGGGAAAGACAATTATTGTGCTTCTGAAGGTGTCGATCACAAAGGAAGGTCCATTTGGATTTAGTAAGGGATATCTACAGATATTTTCAGCTTTTGATGACCTTCCTTCTGCTCTCTCATTCTCTCACACTAGCATAAGAGTCATTTCGCGTCGTTCGGATTGTCGTTCGAATGTGTAAAATCGGCGATTAATTGCGTTATCCTTTTTCTTTTCTATATTTCATTATTTAATTTCATTTTTTTCATGTGTTTTGAGGTTGTTTCGGGGTAATATTTGTATTTGAACAATAGTCCCTTTCCATCCTTTTGGCCATAATTTAATGTGCTTTGCTGATAAATTAGTTATATGGCCTAATAATTGTTAAAAGGCACCCAAAATATTTTTCTAAAAAATTTATTTACGTTTATTTACGTTACATTCCCTAAACAATAAAGCATCTAGGTTAATAGAAAATTTTTTTTAAAGAGTCCTCACCATCGCTGGTTAAACTCGCTTCGCTGGCTTGTCGCATTGGACAAACATGCCAGAGAGGCCTTTGGCGATAGAAATGCAGGTGAGTCGTCACCATCACCCGGATTTTTGGAAAGGTTTGCTCTTGTGGGGAGTAGAATCTTAGTACCTGCGCTCCCAATTGAGCAATAACAATAACCCACTGAGCCATTCTATCCCACGTTGAAAACACGACATCCTATTCGAATAGAAAATACCCGCGATTTACGAAAATTAGTACTTTCTGGACTGGAAAGAGCGGGAAATAGGGCACTTTATAAGTTATGGAGGATTTTGCTCCCGAAATTAACGGAAAAAAAATAATTGCGCATCACTAACAAATTTAAATTTTGTGAGTTATTTCTATCGTCCCAGCAATAAGCAAGAAAGTGGTTAATTAGTGGCACTCACCATCTCTAATTAGGCTTCTTCCACTGAATTTTAGTAGGTTATTCGATTAATTTTACTAGGAAATCACTTGGAAATAAAAAATGCTTATTGGTGCTCACAGGTTTATTCTTAGTCGAAGCAGAGGACCAGGATGGTGGATATGACGACCGGGGCAACAATCACTCTGCTGTCTTGTCTGTTAGTGTGCCCGCAGATCGTAGCTCACTTAGCAATCTTCTCGCTCACTGTATAATCGTTCTTATCATATGATTTTTTAACACCTCCAACTCTATAATACGTCCTTACATAATCATTTGGTTGTAAAAAATAGTAATAGGGATCAAATCTGTTGAACTGGAAGTTTGAGGACTGCTAAAATAATTTCTCTTTTCTTCTTTTGCTAATAGTATGGTCCAAATTTTTTTATATTCGGTAGACTCGTTTGCATGCCATTTTTTTCGCTCTGCTCACCATTACGATTTTGTTAGTAGCCTGTACAATAATCCACCTTGTGAGTGTATTAATGAATTAGAACAGGGCTCGAACACATCGTCAAGTTTCTCAAAACTCCTTTATATACTCTTTTAACTCTCTCTGCGATGTACTTTCTAAAAAAAAATCTCACTAGTGAAACTTGCAGGTTTGCTGCCAATTTCCCAAATTTGCTCTCATTTTGCCGTATTGCCGAGACTTAGACTTTTTGCTCAATAATTTGGCTATCTCTGTATCATTTTTTCACTGTAGCAGGATTTTTTCTAACTAATTTTGTATTCTAATAATAATTTTGTATTCTAACTTTTATTGAATGCTACGATAATTTATAAATTTAGCGCTGTGAAAAGCCAAGTTTCGAAAAAGTTTATTAACAATGATTTTTATTGATTTATGTTCCACTGGAATTCACCAGATGTAAGCTAAAATATCTCATAACATATAGCTGTTTCCTAAAGCATTTTACAACCAATTGTTGGATAAATCTTGTTTCAAGCTGCATCGCACAGCAGCTTTTTCTAGTTACGTTGCTTATGTTTATTTTTATCTATCAAATCTGATGTTCGAAATTTCTTATTGCTTGTTGAGCTGTGCTTCTCGATGTTCAAACCATTCTAATCTAATTTTCTTCTAAATAATCAAATTTTTGTTTCTCAAGTGTTTAGAGATTGGGAAATTTTAATTTTGAACTTATATATTTTATAGGTATAAATACGTATAAATACTCGTATAAATACTGTTTCGTGCAATTTTAATTCGCTCTCCTTTCGCCGTTCGTCAGTCCAAAAATCTGCTTCTGTCTTTCCCCTCATATTTTTACAAATACCAACAAATTGCCAAATCGTAATTTTAGCTGAAAAAAATTTATTATAAAAATATCCATCGACCTGTTCACCATGGGAACGGAACATTTGGTTTAAATCGCTGTAGCAGCTTGAATCATTTCATTCTAAAAATTTAGTGTTTGGTGAAGCGATCGCTCTTTTTTGGTTTTATGCCGCTGGTTTTAAAGTTTACCAGTGGATGAATATTAAAAGTTTCGGATTATGACCTATACAAAAATACAGTTGCTACAAGTATTCGTCCAACAACATTC